TAAATTCATTGATCATTCAAGCTGATAGAGCATTGCCTAGATGTTCCTTCTTCTAAGGAGGAAGGTGTTTGCTAATGTTAACTTGCTTAAAATGTAAGTGGGAATTTCCATTGCATTGGGAATATCACATCCTTTCTTCAATGCAAGGCCCGTTTCCAGCTCCCATCTCCCACTGCTGCCCCCAGCTGACCCCACACATCCGCTTCTATTTCTGATACTTAACTACCACTGTCCCAGGTTAATCTTCTTCGGAGCATGTATTGGGTCCTCCCTTTTCAGCTTCAGATTAACCGTGTCCTTAGAGAGGTGTTCTTCATCAGCCTCGAGTCCCCACCTGCCATTCTTACCATCCTCGCCCTTGGTTTCACAGCACTGCCATCAGTGTCTGTTGTTCACCATGAGTTCAGGCAAGACTGCAAGTTCATAAAAGCATACACTGTATGTTTTCTGAGTAAATGAAACAAGAGATCCTAGACTTGTCCAATTCGTTGATATTATTCAAACTTAAGTCACTGCCGAAAAGTAATTACATTTCTTTGGATCTGGTGAGTCCATGAAAATGTTACTTTCTAGAACATTCTGAGAGTAGGACGAGATCTAAACTCAAACTGTGAGTTTAACTCTATATTGTTGACTTGTGTCAGCTCCATGAAGAATGTGGAAAGAAACTGCTGCTGGAGACTTTACACATTGATATAGACATTTGGAGAATCACGGGGAGACGGAACACACATGTCAAGACTGCAAAAGAGGCCATGAATAAGCACACGTGCAAGGCTAGGGAGAGCTAGAACGGATGAAAGGTTCCTGGAGGGAGAATTGGATGGAGCTGGAAGGAGAAGGAAGGGCCTCCTCTGTGGCCCAGGGTCAGCGACTGATAAGAAGGGGAGTTGAAGTCCCAGCCCCTCGATCCTGTGCTTCCTCCCACATTTAGAGAGGAGCATTGTGCAGGGCCCCCAGAAGGCATCCACAGCTTTTCTTCTGGGGTTTTAACACTGCAAAAAGCTGAGCAGCAACAGAATAATCGCTGTGGGTTTTTTAATACCAATTTTTTAAAATCAAGTGTACAATTATTTTCTTAGCCAAGAAAAAAAAATAAACAGCCCCTGGGTAAATGTATGGCAGAGAAGAATGAGCCCTACACAGCAGCATCAAGTAGGTCTGAAGATAGAGCAGGAGCCTACACAGAAGGGCCAGGTTGGTCTGAAGATAGAGAGGAGCCCTAACAGCAGCGTCAAGCAGATCTGAAGATGGGCCCTAGAGAAGGGGTGGCTGGAAGAACAGACACCAGGAGATATGGCATCACAGAACAGATGGACCAACCAGGCCGGAGCAGTGGCAAGGTCCCTTTCCAGGGCAGCTGTAATCTTCAAAAGACAGAACATTCTGGTGAGCAAACTTTGCAGTTACAAAATGTATTGACGTATGCTCACAAAACACAGTTGTCTCATTTCTGGTTTATGAACACCATGGGAATACAAAAGAAGTGCATTTCTCTCTTCATCCACGTTGGTGTGAAGCGATTTTGTTTAAGCACCTTTGAAAGAGGCTGTTATCCTCGCGGTTGTTCTTGGTTTCTATTGCATCTTTTCTCCCGGGCAAGTTTGTCTCCGCAACATCGCTCCGAGAGCATAGGTGTCAGCAGTCTCCAGCTCTATTTTAAGCTGGGGTAGGAGCACCCGTAATATAAGTAGGAACCGTGAAAAGGGAATACATGAAATGTCTGCTGCAGTACACTCGGGTGTCGTTGAAATTCTGTTTTAAATTAACCTGTAATGTGGCTCTAAAACCCCATTTTGAGGCAATTCACCTGAAAGAGTAGCAAAAGGAAGGCATCTGAGCTCACAGAAATGGGGTTGGAAGGGGCTGAGGGGAAAGTAGGTGGGTAGAGATAATAGACAGACTGACAGATGGATCGATCGAGACAGGTGGATGGTGACAGCTGGAAGGACAGCTGGATGGACACTGATACATAGAGCTGCAGACAACAGAGGCAAGAGGAATCGGCATAGACATGAGAGATGAGGGACAGACAGGTAATAGACGAAGACATGACTAGACATTCTGCCATGAATCTACAAGCGTTCTTTCTGCCATGTATATACAACTAGAGGATAATACACAGATACAAACATCTGCTTATTTGACACGGAAGAAGAAGAGACACGGGCTTCTGTAGGACTTGCTCTGAAGCCGAAATTACTCCACGTTTAAGCAAAAGACCGTTTTTTTCTAAATGAAGCAGACCACTAGAATATGAGGAACTAATTATTCAAAACCCACATCACTGAGAACCACGAAGACCCCTGGCATGAAAAGGGATTTATCGTGGCCGAGTTAGACAAAGAAATCTTTCTGAGATGTTAATACTAAATCTCAAGGCTTTCGTTCTCTTTTGAGGTCCTGATTTGACTTTTTATTTTAATAATGACTTTTATCAGGCTTAGAGAATACCCCATGTAGAAATTGTGAGGTAAATTTGATTCACATGATAAAAAAAAAAAAAACAGAACTTCCTGTCTGATCTCTCTGCCTTGCCTTGGCTGAAGCTCACACAGGCAACCTGGCTCTACAGAACACAAGGAGCTGGAAATCAGAGGCATTGGGGTAATGGAGTAGGATAGCTCAGTGAAACCGCCTGCAGCTCGTTGGGTTGGCTCGCGATCACAATCCCAGTGCTTAGGAGGCTGAAGGAGGAGCGCTGCTACAAGTTCAAGGCCAACCTGGGCTACTCAGTGAAACCCTATGTCAAAACAAATAAATAAAAACAAATATAAAACAAACAAAACACTTCTAAAAAGAAAATGTCTAGTAAGTGAGCATCCCAGAAAAGCCTAACACCACTGGCAAAGAATCAGATCACTCTAGGACAATAAAGGGCCCAATGTCGGAAGTTCAAATCAAACTTCTCCCGGTCTCTCAGAGGCACACAGGAACAGAGAGCATGCGCTCCTACAGCCCTACAATCCCATCACAAGAAGAAGCTGGGCCATGAGAACATGAGGTGCCCAACACCAAATCACAGCTCCAGCAAGCCAGAGATTAACCACTCAGCCCAATGAGCTAGAGGTTTCTCTGTCACAAGAATACATAGCATCCGGAGTGGGGGGAGGGAAGGAAAGACAGCAGGGACGTTGTGGTGACAGGGCCCAGGGCTGCTGGGGAGCATCATCCTTTTGCACATTTTCTTTTGCACACTTTGACACAGTGGGCACAATCCAGGTCAGAGCTCTCCATTGCCTAGGAGTCCTTTAGGCCAACACAAACAAGCCAAAGGTTCTCTGTTGTTTGTTCTCAGTATCCAGAGTCATGGACTGGAACCAGGAGAATGGAAATCAGCTCTGTCCTGGAAGCCACTGGCCTTGAGTTTAACAAAAGCCACCTCAAGTGTAGGAGAAAGCTAGTGTGTGGGAACTGCCCAGAGTCGGGGTGTCTGAGGACAGCTGATAACTGATTAGCCTGCTGATCCTCCCACAGAGAGTTCCCAGGCCTTGCAAGGGTAACATCTCACTGAATACGGAGACGTCCCCCGTCCTCTGATAACACACTGATGAACTTCTGGGGCTTTGAACAGTTCCTGGACGTGGGGGTCAGCAGGCATTTCTCTGGCGGAAGCCTGGACACGTGTCACGGCCAGAGCTTATGTCGGAGAAATCTGTTATGCTTGAACCCTCACAGATGCAGACAGATGTGTCAGCATCCAAGGTAAAACAGCTGAGGTTAGACAGCCGGTCAAGGGAAAACACCATGATGACAGAGAGGGACAACATGACCCAGAGCTGGCTGACCCGGAGCTGTCACTTGTCATGAACCAGAGTAAAGGAAGTAACACAGTCTTCACAGAGGAGCTCTCTGCCCAGTTCCCAGCTTCAGGTCACATGAGAGGGAAACATGTTGTGTGAACAATTATTTGACAAAATAAATCACGAAAGGGATCCCTTACATTGTGTAGCCATTTGATTTAATGGAAGGACTTCTACCACCCACACCACTGTCTACTTCATCTCTGCCATCAAAGTGCTAAGTAAATGCCACAGCGTATAATTTGTTGTTGTAAGTATAATTACAAAAGTAATTCCAAGTATATATTCTGGTCTTGCCATGATTGTCATTTTTATCCCCCAAACAAGAGGAAGAGAACAAGGCACAAAATTAGAGGCCTTTAGATGTCTGAGATGAAGCAGGTTCTCTTAAAAATGGCTGTATAAACAAGCCTGGAACAGAGGCAGTATCAGTGGAAATGTAGTTCCTAAACGAGGAACTACAATTAATGCCCCTGGGAGAAGGAGAATCTCCTACCCCAGGGATGAGCTCACCTACTGACTGCCCAATGACAAGTGATCAGCCTTGAAACCATACATACACCACCAACAAAAATGGACTCAGTGGGTTGTATTTACATGCTTGAACATACATATACATATCGTATGAAACAAAAATAATCAAAGAAAAAGAGGCTATCAACTTGAGAAAGGTGGGGGACGCAGGAGGGAGTGGAAGGAAGAGTACCTCAGAGGAGCTGGAGGAAGGGAGTAATATAATTTGGTGTCAATTAGAAACACATTTTTAAAAAGATAAAATTAAAGCCAACCACCATACTCCTTAAAAAGAAATAAAAGGGCTGGAGAGATGGCTCAGAGGTTAAGAGCATTGCCTGTTCTTCCAAAGGTCCTGAGTTCAATTCCCAGCAACCACATGGTGGCTCACAACCATCTGTAATGGAGTCTGGTGCCCTCTTCTGGCCACCAGGCATACACACAGACAGAATATTGTATACATATAAATAAAATAAATATTTCTAAAAAAAAAAAAAAAGAAATAAAAGACACGAAAGAGGTGAGTGTAAATATGCTCGTAGTCATAGGGGCTCCCAGGGTGAGCTTAAATCAAACTTTTCAGGGTTTGTTGACAGCACCCGATAAATTCAAAGGTTCATGTTTGTCTCCCAAAGCATAGCCATGCAAGTGAAATTAGGCTAAAAATACAAACTTGACACTTACTGATTCCTTGAAAGAGTTCCTCAATATTAATGGCGTTCTTCGCACTTGTTTCCACCACGATGGCACCTATGGATTCAGCATATTCCTTAGCATCCTTCAGGGGCACCTCCCTGGAAAAGAGGTCAAGCCCGTTAAGAAACGAACGCTTGCTTGTGAACCACAGATACTCAAGAAAGCAAAGAAACAGCACTCGTGGAAACAGCACCTTGGCTTTCCTACAGGATAGTAACTTTATCATTCATCAAGAACTGAAGACCTACAAGGGGGGCACCTTAGAAACCAGTCTTGACCAGGCATGGTGGTCCCTGCCTTTAATTCCAGTAGGTGGATGTCTGTGAGTTAAGGTCTACATAGTGAGTTCCAGAACAGCCAGGGACACAGAGAGAGCCCTTCTCAAAAGGAAGAGGGAAAAGAAGAAGGAGTTGGTCTCTGGCAACCACGGACAAGATATGCATCTATAAAACAGTGCTATCTCCACAAGTAAATTCCTAGACTGGAGAGAAAATGGTTTTAAGTGTTGATTTGACTATGGATATTTCAGAAGTTTAAATGTCTGTTCCTCACATTGAAATTTAATTGCCATTAAGAAAATATCGAGGGGTGAGACCTCTAAGAGGATTAAGCTAGAGGGCTGGGATCAATGATTTATGAAAGAGTGAGTTCAACCCCACTTCTGCCTCTTTGCCCTTCCACCTGTGAAGATCGGAGCTCTCCTTCCCATGGGCCAACATGGTGCAAACATTTTCTTGGAATCGAAACCACCAGACTTGCCAGTGATACTAAAGTGTGCCTTGATACTGAATTTCCCAAGCTCCAGATTTGTGAGTCTGTATATCTTGTACAAATCATCCAGCCAATGGTATTCTGTTACAGACTATGGCGGGCTAGTTTCAACCTTTCTTTTCTATAACATGACTCAACATTAACAACAATATACTGTGTGTGCACAAGTGTATAGCTTCTGGCATGTCACATATGACAGTTTTGACACATCTGAAGGTTCAACATCCATGTACTCAAGTAATGGCGGTTAAAAAAAAATACACCAAATCACCAAATGACTTCCTAAATGATGCTGTACAACAAGCTATTGACACCGTGAAGAGGAATGAGGATGGCTCCTAGAGGCTCCTATGTTTGAATGCTTGGTCCCCACTTGTTGGGACTCTTTGGAAAGGATTAGGAGGTGTGACCTTGTTAGAGGAGGTGTGTCACTGGGGGTAGGCTTTGGGGTTTCAAAAGAAGCCACTCTCGGTGTACTCCCTTGCTTTCTGCTTGCAGACCAAGAGGTGAGCTCTAAGCTACTCCAGCACATGGACTCTGACCCTCTGGAACTACAAGCCCAATTAAACACTTCCTTTTACAAGTTGCCTTTGGTCACGGTGCTTTATGAGAGCGATAGGCACGTAATGAACACATACAGCATTTACATCACACTCATATAAATACTCTGGAGATGGTTTAACATGCCAGGTAGGGGGGGAGGTGGCTACTAAGGGGGTTGAGCACCTGTGGACTCTGGAGCCTGATGAGCTCCAAGAACTAACCCCAGAGGACACCAAGAGACAGCACAAACATAAAATCTGACATGATCTGATGTTCGGCAATGAAAATCTTGTGACCATGAGGCACCATGGCAAGTCCGAACCTTAACCTTTCTTAGATGTTTCTTGCCAAAGCTTTAGGGTGTAGCAATCTAGAAAGGAAGTAACTGATCTGTGTTCAGTGTGAAGATACCATGGTGACTCCAAAGATAAAGATGACAGTTCTTAGTCTCCAAACTCTGTGTGCTTACTTAGTGAATGTTTACTGAGTGGCTGTTGAATTCAGGCCCTCCTCTGGGGGCTAGGGCAGACTTGTTTTAAGGATCTGCATGTTAGACCAGAGACAAAGTGCATCCACAGACATTTGAATTCACACTGAAGCACTACACTTGAGGAGTAGAGGGGGTGGAACACTATCCTTGTAGAGATGGGAATCAGGGAACTCCTCTTGGAGACAGTCATCTGTGGCCAGAAAAAAAAAAAAAGCCAAGTGTGGTCAGAAAAGGGAGTGTGCACACATTTCCTGATATTCTTAAGAACAGATTCCATATCCAATACTGCCTGGGTGACATGGTGCTCACACATGAATGGCAGAGTCGGAATGGACAAAGGGAGGTCTGAATGACTGGTGCTGAGACAAAGGGAGTCCAGTGGAACTGGGGCAGATAGGGAGGAAGGCACACCATGCCTGCTTTGTGTCCAGTGGATTCTCAAGGACCGGAAGAGATAGGGATACCTCTACAATTATGAAAAACACAATGCAGCAAATGGGCTAGGGACTAGGGGCTTAGAAAGAGGAATCTGGAAGCTCTTCTACGGCTGGATAATACATCGGAATAAAATGACAATAGGAAAGAAGTGAGAGGAGGCAGAAAGCGGACTCTGGGAATGAAGATGAAGAGACAGAATTCATTTCCGTCCCTCTTCTCCCCTCCTTCACACAACAGGTGTGAGAAGTTGTCTGGAAATGTGTATATCGGGACTTATATTCCTTATGAAGTCTGTCTAAGTTTGCTTCTATCACCATGGCCAGAGCAACTTGGGGGAGGGAGGAAAGGGCTTGCCCTTGAGACACTTCCATGTCCCAATCCTAGTGTATCAGTGAGGGAAGTCAGGTCAAGAGCTGAAGCAGAGGCCATGGAGGTAGCTGCTGACGAGCCTGCTCCCCGTGGCTATCTTATACCTCTCGGTGGGCTGGGCCGTCACACATCAATCATCAATCAAGAAAATCCCCTATATAGACTTGCTTACAGACCAATCAGATACAGGCATTTTCTCCATGCTGAACTTCCTCTTCCCAGATGTCCCTAGCTTCTGTCAAGTGGACAAAAGCAAACAAAAAATCCCGCCACCAACAACAACCAGGACAAGGCCCAAACATAAGACAGGAAAACTTCCCAGGTCCTAGCTGTAGAAGGGTCCAACTAGAACCTGCCACACTAAAAGCAGTTGTCCCAAGACTAAGTCAGACAGAAGACGCTTCCTGGGTCTATTCTTGGGAGTCTTCACTTCCTATGTCTTCCTTACTAGAGTCACTGGAGGATCCGCTTTGCTGTCCCTACCCGAGGAGCTTCTGGCCTCCGGCAGTGACTACTCTGGAGTTTTTGTTGGCAAGTTCTTTGCATGTGGAAGATTCCTGAAGGTGTTTGGTTTAGCATGTCAGCCTATTTCTAAATTTCATCCTGAAGTCTTTATTAAACCATATACAGAAGAGAGGGCACCTCTGCCTGAAGGAGAGGCGGTTAACTCTGCTACCTGCTCCTGTCTCTCTGTGCATGGAGTTGGGGCAGATGGCAATCACACACGCTTCAGAGAACCCGCTAGAGAGATTGCACACAATATCATTGCCTCCTCAACTTTGTTACTGTCCAACTGTGGCACAAGGCAGTACGGTTTCTGCCAGGATTAAGGTAAAGACAAGGCAGTCACCGTGCGTGACATAATCTGAAATAGGACAAGGGTAAGCTGAGTATAGTCAGTTCTTCTGGGCCTTGAAATGGAGAGAAAGCAAAGGCAACTTCAAACTCCTTGCATGCTTAGAATGGGTTTCCTTAAATAAATAACCGGTCCAGGCTGTCACTACTGATGAGAAATGCAGGGGGGGGGATGGCATCCTGGTCCCTTGCACAAGCCCCCTAACCATGCAAACACACACCATCCAACCTGCATACTGTTCCTCCCATCACTATCACGGGCAAAGAATACGTGGTGCACTCAGGCTATCTCAGACTATCAAACACAGGAGTCAAGATGGTATGGAGGGAGGGGTGCACTCCATGCTCCGGTCAAAATAAATGACGCAGGCTTCACGGTCATCTTGTGTTCACACATCTGAAGTTTGTCCATAGGCACTGAACTGTAACCTAGTTTGCCTTGCAAGCAACCTGCAGCCCAGTGTGATAAGAAGCTTCAGAGCCTCAGTCAGCCACAACTGAGCCGTATGCGACTAAGACAGATATGAGAAGTAGCCAATCAGCTGTCCGTCTACCCCACTTTCACTTTTGTATTTTATTTCCTTTTCTCTGGCTCTATGTATAACCTGATTGGCTGGACCTTTTGAAGATGGGATTGCTGTCTGATCCAAGAATTTAACAAAGAAATCAAATTAAGATCTATAAAACTAGATTTGCTGGTGTATGTGGGGACGTGCTGGTCCATGTTGCTGGGGATAAAACCCAGGGAGGGTCTCATGAATGCTAGGCTTCACCACTAACTGCACCCCTGGCATGTAGTTTTTATTTTATTTATATGTGAATGATATATGTATGGCCTGGCACACGCGCGCGCGCGCGCACACACACACACACACACACACACACACACACACACACACACAAATTACCTTTATATTAAAATTACCTTTTAATATAAAAAATTAAAAGTACACTTGTGTTCTTTGCCTGGAATTCCCAACAATTCCCTTGTGTTCTTTGCCTGAGGTTCCCAAACTGGCAAGCATCAGAGTGATAAGATTGTCTCTTATTAATGAAGCATTACAGCTGGCCACACAGAATTTGATAGTGTGGGGTCTATAGACAGCAGCAGAATTAGGCTGGTTCCCCAAGAAACCACTCTGAAGTTAGGGACAGACTTCTAGCCACACCCCCAACCTGAACTGTGGATTTAATCAAACATGACTCAATGATGAAGTCTGCAGCAAACAAGGGCAAAACCAACCTCGTGAACAGGAGGCCTGGGGAGCTACTGCCAGTGCGGAACCCCCAAAGAGTGCCACAAACTCCTCCCTGACCCTCAGAACAAGACCTATGTGTCTCTCCATTTGGCTGTTCAGAGTTTGCAGCCTTCATAACTAGCAATAATTCTGAGTAAGTGCTTTCCTGTGTTCTTTCTAGCAGGTACCATGAGGGAGGTCATGGGAGCCCTGTAATTTACAGTCTGCTGGGGCAAAATGGTGGGTAATTTGGGGGTACTGGAGATTCACAGCTGGAGTCTGAACTAGGGCATAACGTGGTCCCGAGCCTCTCAGTGGGTGGACTTCTCACCAATCCTGGTCTCTGTCAGAAAGGAACAGAACTGCAAGGTACTAGCTGCTGTCAGAAGAGTGC